ATCCGGTCTAAGACAGACGTGAAAAAAAACTGCACTTGTTCACTTATTCGCGAATGAGATTTGATGTCAAACTATACTCATAGGCCTACCGTGTATAAAATTGTAAAAACAAAATACTGAATGGGTAACTCGGTCATTTCGCGCATTTTAAACCATAATATCAAGCTGACAATAACTGTTAAGGCGATGCTATTTTTTTCAAGATGAAGTTAGTAAAACATTTCAAAGCACTTGTACTCAAGAAACTATCGTCTTATGTGTAATCACGATATTACTGCAAACCATATACAGCGAGTGTTAAGCGGATCCGTTGGTGGCGCTGTTATTTTGTACAAAGCGTTATTGGTAAAAGCGTAACCGTTTTGACGAAGTGACACATCTGTGCACACAGATGCAAAACCGAGTTTGGAGAAAATTGCGTTCGAAGTTGGTGGATTTTTCAATTTGCATTTTTGTGTACATTTCTCGCCCAGAATTAAAAAAATATATAACTGAGACAATAGCCCGGCATTTAAAGCCAAAACAATTCTCTCTGTTCATAAAATCGTTTTTAATTAGAAGATATTAATTACTAAAGATATCCGTCACTTCGTCAAAACGGAAAATCTACTTCTGCACAAAAATGATTCATGTGTTTGTACACAGCGCGTGCGCATATATAAAATTGATACATTTTAGAACGCAGATGCGTCACTTCGTCAAAACGCAAATCGTGGAGGCTTCATATTTCTAAATATAGAACACGTGTACAATCAATGAGACTAAGTGACATATAGAGATCCGTCACTTCGTCAAAACGAAAAACTTAGTGTGTAGCACTTTTAACACTTTGTGTAATTAGTGTAATTAGCGTAATTAACGAACGATGGAATGTTGTGTCTCGAAATTTGGTAATCATGTAGAGGACATCATAAAATCTTAGAATATTCAAAAATCTTAGATTTCAGAAAATCTCGGTTTTGGACGGATGTGTCACTTCGTCAAAACGGTTAAGAAACAGCAGTTTTGAAATAAGATTTTACATGTTTGTATTTAAACAAGGTTCAATAATAAATTGTGGATTTGTATATCAAGAGTATCCATTGACCTAGTAGTCTCAGTCCAAGACTGGATTTGAATTTGTATTCTCCTATTTTGCAGCCGGTCCCGTGACGAATGCGGTAAAGTTGCCGCGGCAGCGGGGTCTCTAACAAGATGAATCAAATCCAGTCTAAGCAATAGTGGCAGCGCTACCCAGGAAATTCTGAGCATACCTCACGCGCGTGCATCAGCTTGAATACAGCGCGCGTGAGATATGCTCGGAATTTCCCGGGTAGCGCTGCCAATATTACCAAGACTTGAAGTTGATTCTTTTTGTTGATAGAGACCTCACTGGTCACGGACAGGCTGTAAAAGGGGAATACAATGCAGTCTTAGGCCAAAATTAATAACGTAGCTGTGTCGGAGTTTCAACACCCCTTCCTTTGGGTGGGGGAAGAAACAAGATGAAAAGAAAGAGGGGAGGCCATTTTTATTGATTCGCGTTTCCTACGCTCAGAAAAAAGTTAAGAATAGTTGTTTTTCCTCCCATTGGTTGTACATTTTTAGTTCCATATACAGGCTGAAATAGCCGGAATTGTGTCTTTGCACTATTTAAGCAAGTGTGTGCAGTTATTTCTGCTTGTAATTTGTGCCATACAATGTATTAAGCTTATTGGGATCACTAAAGAGGAAAATAAATGCTTATAATTCCAATCATGCAATCGGCTAGTCAAAGATATTACATGTATTTACAAACTAACAAAGTTCAATAATGGGTTTTGCCCTTCACCAACGTATTTATGTATTTATCACCCCGACGCAAATTCCATCTTAGGAATAAACTAACAAAGCCCCAACTGAAGAGATCAAATATCAATGCCTGCGTAATACATTACAATATTATTACATCAGTGACAAATCAGGAAACGAATAACGGAAATATGAGGAGTATAAGTTTGCTTGCCTTACATGGAGAGTTCAAGTATAATAAGGTCATAGATCATCTCAGGCATCAACATGAGGGCGCTATATACACTAATACAATGTCGAGCTGCACATTTGCGAAAATGGTCTTTTATGCGATGGACAAAAGTGGATTCAAATTCCAACAAACAAGTTTGTCCGCAGCCAGTGCGTTTAAGACTCAATTTTAAAACTTGATCAACGATTTTGTCACTCATAATTATGTGATCGCCATTCTGTACGGACTTAATAAGTGCACATACTACGGTTACTTCGTGAGCACGGCGTCATTAGTTGCCTCATTAGTACGCATGTGCAGACGTGAAAGTCCTTACTACCGGTGAAATACAATTTTCGTAAGCGGGGAATTTTTTATTATAAACTTTACAAGATTTCTTTGCTTATGGTAAGCAGAACCATGAAATTGAGATACTTTGGAGATAAGGCGTGTGATGGACTACCGCATATCGTTTAACGATTATTGTCTATACCCCTCGTCAGCTTAGGTAATTGTGCCCTATACCATTATCATGCTGCGGCCATTTTGATTTATCCCAATCAAATCAACGTAACCAAAGCGAGGCTGAAAGGAAAAATAGTCTGGTTCCTTTTTACACAAAAAACATTATCATTCAGTGCTGTAATTGGATACAGGGAACATGACTGAAATGGTGGCAGCATGATACAGGTCTATACAGGGGAATCCGAGAAGTGACTCCAAAGCGCACTTTTAAGGTGTTCGAGTATATAACAGGAAATTGCTAGCGGGCCTCGGGCTTCAGATCACATACTGCCTGTTGTGCTGCGCCCTTCACGTGGGTTGCAAGGAAAATGGCTTTCTCCGAGTCACTCCATTGATGACTGCCGCCACACGTTCAAAGTGAGGTCATCTGCCCACGCGGCGCGGATGTGCCATCATTAACATCATTGGCGTAGTCCGGGGGAGGGGGGGGGAGCTGGGGGCACGGCCCCCCACAAATTTTCAGTGCCCCCGAGGTGCCCCCCGAGCCCCCCCCCCCCCCCCCAAAAAAAACCCCGAAATATGCCGCTTGCCAAGGAAGTGTCTTTTAAGGTACAATTTTGTTAAGTTATTAAAACGAAGAGGAAATAAATGACCACTTTTTGACTTCCCTTAACCGGTTTTATGAAATGAGAATAAAGTGATAAGAAACACGAGCGCCCTCTAGCGTTAAACGAGCGCCCACACCTGTTTTTATCAGGATGTGGCTTTTGCGCGTTTAAACTTTCCCACGATCAACTCGCTGTTCACATACCTTCCGGAAGGTTTAGTTGTGATGATGTTCTTTGAAGGTAAACAATACCTGTCAGCTGCGGTGCTTTGTCAGGAGTGAAAGTGCAACACTGTACTTTCTCAAACAAACAAAAAAAATATTGCACTCTCACTCTACGTTAAAACTAATATCGTTCCAGGTATATAGTTTGAGGTTTCTAAAGCCTGGATCATGGTAATTTAATTCACATATTCTCGATGCAAATTCCATCCTATAACTTGCATTTGCATTGTGCGGCAATTGTTGGCAATAATGACTATTAAATTTAGTGTGTCTTCTGCCCGTTTAGTGTCTTGTCAACAATTTTGGGCCATTCGCAGTGCATTGAGCATCAGGGGAGGATTAACCCTAAAGGGGCCGGGGGGCGGAATCCGCCCCCCCCCCCCCTCAACATTTTCCGTGATAGCCTCTAAAAAAAATTTTTCGCGACCCAAGCTGTTTTGACTTTTTAGCCTCGAGCTTTGCGCATCTTTTGATACCAAAAACATAAAAATCGGACCACGGGTTGCCGCGTAGCGAAAAATTTTCCGGCGCTACGCGCCGTGAAAACTGAATTTTCGCATATACATCGTGTACACAGAGCAAAATTGCCATTCGTACATATGAATAATTAATTAGCCATAATTCCAAAACCCTTTGACCTATAGTCATGAAATTTCTTGGGTATGTTTAGGAAGAGTTGCTCTATGCATGTGCCGAGTTTCAAAATTTTTCGTCACTCGATGGCTGAGATCTTAGGGGGGGGGGCGGAATCCGCCCCCCCCCCCGGCTGAGAGATGGTCAAAATAACCCGGCCCCTTTAGGGTTAATGTGTAGGTGAGAAATTTACTTGAGGGGTGGGGACTCATTTTCTGGAGGGGGCACTGAGTAAGTTGCTTCCGTTTTGGAATATAATAAGACCATTGGTGACGTGGACGGTCACTGCAGAATAAGTAAGTATATAATGAACCTTCCTCGATATCTGATTTAAAGAAAACAACTTGTGTATCAGAACAAAAAGAACGTGACCAAACTGTATACAAACCAAAAGGTATAAAACAGACATTAATTGTGAAAAACAAATACTAAAGGAAAAGAAGCACGGTGAGGGGTTTTCATGGAAAATTGTTGGGTAGGAGCTCGCCCTCGCGCCAACTCCTAAAAGAGTTCGTTTGTCCTGTTGATAAAGGACCGCCTAGAAAAGTAGGTAAAATATTGCACAGCGCCACCAACCAAGCAGAATGAACCATGTGAATTGTGTGCCCCTCCTTAGTTGCCACCCCAAATTGTATTGGGTTCTAGGTAGATATTTACTTGAAAATATTCGAAGATTTTTTTTTCATTTCTTAAAAATAAGCGAAACGAATATGTCGCTTTCCCTACAGAAAACAAAACTGGTTTGGATACATAACAAGGAAGTGGTTTAAACTGCTGGGATGTTTTCACACGATCACAGCATGTGTTTATAGGAAGATTTATTGTAGTTATTGTATTGGTTATCCTGTTTTGAAAGTAAGTGATCTTCGACGGTATTGCGAAAGCGTATCAACAAGAACTATAGTTTCGTTTCACATTGTTCCTGTGATGAGAAGTGCACACGGAAGTTTCCATGTGTGAATGTGTATCACATGAATACAATTCACTGCTCATTTTACGCGCTGCCTTTGATGAATACGAACATTACTCCGGAGATAACAAGAAGTCAGTGTCTGTTATAGTCATTATCTGGTAGTATAAAAAAACATCATGGCAGCCAAAGCAGTATTTGTCTTCTGCCTGATTACCAGGATGGCAACCATGGTAACGTCTGTAACAGCTTCGGCAAGTGAGGTGAGCGTCAATAGAGGTGAACAGTTACATATATCGTGTGATGTCTGGTATGAAGATGCTACAAACATCGCAGCGGTTAATTGGTACAGGCAGGGAGATCTAATAAGGTACGGTAAACTCGATGTTTCAACAAGTTGTGCGCAAATTTGTGGAGCATACACAGCTGACAATCGTGGAAAAATCCGATACGAAAAAAGCAGGAACATGTCAACGCTGACACTAGAAATCGATAACAGTACTTTAGGAGACAATAAACAGTTCACTTGTGGATTCTTCACTAAGAGAGGAGACGGAAGTTTAGCTCAAACAGCAACAGCAATCATATCTGTGAGTGTGAATTACCCTCAAGATGAAATGAATCCAGTGTGCTTTGTGTCAAGTCCCTCTGTGCTGACTTGCTCATCTGAGATAACTCAACCATTGGTTTCTCTGGAGTGGACAACCTCGGTCAATTCATCAAGGATATCACTGTTAAACGACACGGTCATCACTGGGAGTCAAGTAAACAACATTTTCTATCTCCATCTCGACACCCTCAAGATTCCGTACGACAATAATATATTCACTTGCTATTTGACAACGGAGGCCAGTCCCGTCTTCAAAGGAAATTGCTCCATCGGACCCATTACCGTTCCATCCATTTCATGGACCGGGGATACGGAATCCACCGAAGCTTCGATAAGCACTACAAGGGAAATGGACACATTTGCTGCCCCATCCAATCCAACAGTTGTGGACACTAGGGCATCTCAGACTTCTAGACGCATCTCACAGCAAGGCGAAACACAAACATCCGAACCCACTCAAGATACAGAACTGTCCTCCGCCAGAACCGACAGCCTTTCTCCTGCAGGGCTAACCACGCCTTCTCCTTCGACAGAAGTTGCTCAATCCACCTTCACATACACAACTTGGCATAAAAGTCCAACCGAGACGTCCACCAGACACCGGACTACAATCAGCTTGAGCCCATTTGATGAAATATCGCCTTCCATAATGCCGACAGACCCCGCCCCCTTACTTGGCAGTACTTTCTTCATCGCACTATCGGCTGCATCCGGTGGCGTCATCATATTCCTGCTCGTCATCGTAGCTTGCCTAGTCTCAAGGAGGAAAACTAACAAGCGAGATGCTATAAACGTAAGCATGTCCATGGCCACAATATCGGGGACAGCAGAGACTGGTAGGCTGGGAACTGTATACGGCCATCGATACGATGACCAGCGAAGCAGTCAAAGAGCAGGCAGCAACAGCTATGACATGGGGGAAAACAGACCAACTAGTCCCGTGCAGCTGGTGGCCGCGTACGCTGTGGTTCCTGTGCCGGGCTTACTGCAGCAACCACCGCCGGAGTATGCTGTGCTAGATCCAGACATGTCATCAGAGGAGGTAGCTAGCGATGACGACACGTACGAGTGTGTTGTTGAGGAGAAGAGGAGGAGACGAGGCTTGAAGGAAGTTGCAGCATCGGATGATGCGGCAAACTTTGGACACGACGGTGAGCAAACTGTTTTTAAGCAAACTCTCGTAGGTCAAGCAAACGGATATGAAAAACAAACACAAGCCGGCCCTTATGAACAATTGGACATGTTTAAGTGTTTGATTTCAAATCTCGGTCAAAAATTACATAAGGTCTCAGTGTCCTCTACTAAATGGCCAGTGCTCTATCGTACGGAGGGTATGCACTCGAGATTTGTGGATGAATCTGCAAATTGCGGGGTTCAAGTCCAACCCACGTGGTTGCTGTGCTTTAGTTTTCACCTAAGGCACCACTTTTTTACTCAATGCTTACCTCGACTCTGGGGTAAAATGGGTTAAAGTCAAGGCAGAGAAGATTGCGAGGTTTAATATGGCAGCACTGAGCCGTTTACTATCAGGGTAATGATTTATAGGCCAAGATGTGCAAGGGTAATAATAACATTATGAATTTGGCGTTGCAGCACTGTTGCTCACCCAGTTTACTTGGAAAAGAGTTATACCTACACTTTGGAAGCACTCTAGTTTTAGTTGACTCTAAAAAAAAAAATGAACCCAGCTGACCCTAGCTATAGCCAGCTAGCTTTGCAAGATGACTTTTTTTTTCTTTAGGCGTTTTTAGCACAAACATCTGAAGTTGCAGTCAGATGTTTAATTAAAAGATGATTTCGATGATGACTTTTATTTGGGGTTAAATATGTGATCTTTTCCTTCACACAACTACAGCGCCTCAAGATTCTGAAGACACGGAGATGGCTGTTGCTTACGCCGAGATTGGACAAACCACCTCATCAAGCTCCTCTGTGACTCCTCGGGGCAATGACGACCACAGCAAAGATGACAGGGGGTTCGTGGACAACGTCCTGTACATGGCGTCATCGAATGATGCAATCATCAACGAGCAAAGATTTGGAAATAGTGTCTTCACCTCTCAGAAAAAGGTCAAAGGGAAACCCAGACTGGATCCGTTCTAAGTTCGACGTGCAAAACTGAGCTCATTCACTTTCTCGTGAGTGAGCTTTGATGTCAAGCTGTACTCATACTATGTTCAAAACCGGCAAAACTGTAATGGTTACTCGGCCTTATGCTTCGTACTTGTCAAACAAACCTGACGATCAGTGCAATGATGATGCTACGTTTTTGTGTCGCCATGCAGAACGACGTTTTGGGTAACTCTTACCAGTCCTAAATTATGTTTGACCGTATCCCCGTATGACCGTATGAACATGTCCCCGAATGTATGTTAAAGTTTAAGTTTTTGTGGAAAATGTATAACGTCTACACGCTTCCAAGGATTTTTATGAAACTTGGATGCAGTGACCCTTGGTTGGGAAGATACGATTCTGGATTACTGAGATCAAAGGTCATGTAGGGGTCATTAGAGGTCATTGTTCAAAAATGCTTTAAATGTTTCTTTGTCTACATAATTTGTTAAATTTTAATGTAACTTGGATGGAGTGATCCTTTGGTGAGGGTTCATGACAAGTCTTCAGAAACTGGAGGTCAAAGGTCATCTAGGGGTCATTAAAGGTCGTTTAAAATGCACAACATTTGACTTTTTCGACAGAAATTAATGGGTGTTCAGTTCACTAACGTTGCAGAAAATAAAGGTTTGAGGCTGCTGATGTGTTGTTTTGACGTAATAATGTCAAAGGTCATCCAGGGGTCATTTGAGGTCACAACTCATTATGGAAAAAAATGTGAAAATGGTATTGTTTCATAGAAACTAATACATTCCAGGAGCTAATCATTTCTTCAACTGAAAATGAAGAGCTACAAAAATAAGAACACAAAACATATAGGGATCGACCGCGAAAAAGGGCAACACGTGTGATCCGCGGATCACCTTGTTTCACTTAGAAAAAAAAGTCAAGTACGTATATACTCAAGAACATAATATCGTCTTTAATTATGTAATCACGATATTATTACAATCTATATGTAGCTTGTGCTAAGCGGATCCGTTAATTGGTAGCGCTATTTGTACAAATCGTTCTTTGTAAAAGAAACAGAAGTTATAAAATAACATTTGATATTTTTATATTTAACCAAGGATTAATGATTAGTCATGGATTTTGTTGAAAGACAATCCACTTACGCAGCTATGTCAGGGTCAGAGTTAAAACAACCGTCCCGTGTGGGCGAGGGAAGAAGCAGAGAGAAGAGAGAGGATCTAAGCCACTCCTTCGAAAATCCTTCGAAAATCTCACGGTCGATAAAGTTGACGAATGGGTGATTTCCCTCCCAGTATTTGTATATTTTAGTTCCATATGTCGGCTGATATAATCAGAAGTGGGCCTGCCTCCGTGGTTTTTAAGCAAGTGTGTGTGGAGTCATTAATGCTTGTAATTTGTGCCATATTAACCTGATTTGGATCACTGAAGAGGAAATAAATGCTTAAAATTATCAATCATTTATTTATTAAATTTCTTTACCCAGGATATTCCCAAACAGTTGAAAACTGGTTTCCATTGGGGGCTTGCAATTGTATTGTACATGTATACATGTACATGTACATGTACAAGTTCAATACAATACAATTGCAATCAAATGAACTGAAAGCATAAGGGATTAATGCATAATTGTTAACCAAATATGATAAATTTATTGTAAAACTATTACAACTACATGTGCAATGTGTATTAAGCAACATCGCTGAGCAGGCTTTATTATAAAGTGAATCAGACCTAAGTGAACACAACGAATTTGTATATTATTGTACATTGTGAAATCAAAAGAATTAAGGCTATAAATTCGCTGATTACGGGAAGGGTGCAAAAAAAAACATGTTTGGAGAAAACACGGGAAATTCCCATCCGGTTCCTTATTTCTATGGCAACCAAATTTGTCAGCACAAATGTAGATCTAGTAAATGAAGACAATGACAAAAAATGCTAACATATTTGCAGTAAGACCAATTTAAAAAAAAAAATGTTAAACGTCCTGCCTTCTTGAAAAAAAGGAAGGAGGAGGCCCTTTTTTCCCAAAACGACCGGCTGGGCTATTTTTCAAGGTGGCCGCCAGTTGTTGTTTTTTAAATGGCTAGCAATTGGACTCGGGAATGACATACCAGCTTTATGTGGGCTAGATGCAACAGCTAAAGAGGCCAAAAATGATGTCGCTGTTAAAATTTATCATTTTTTTCGGGTTTGTTGAAAAAAATAAAATCGAGGCGGCCTCTAAACAGGAGCGGGCGGGGACGCTAAACATGATTTTTTTGTTATTCGGCCTAAATTATTACTGACTGAACGTTTTACTTAGTTCAAATTTGAAAAAGGTAAGAGAAGTCGTGGTTCTCAATCATGCCATCGGCTGGTCAAAGATATCTTTACATATACTCAAAGCGCCAACTGTGGAGCTCAAACAATAACGCCTACGGACGGTAAAACAGTACTTGACATATCAGTGACAACCAGGAAGCGAATAGCGGAAGTACGAGTGTATAGTGAGTTGTCTTATGAATACACACTCAAAATACACATGAGGTCATCTCCAGCATCAACATGAGGGCGCTATTTGAAGTTAGGCACTGTAGAGTTGCGACAATGTGTCCCTTTGTGCTATATATGGATATACAAGCAAGTCTGTCCGCAGCCAGTGAATTCAGGACCCACTTGTATGACTCATAAGATGCCTAATAAAAGAATATTTCACCCATTATGATTACCATTCTGTACTGACAAAACTGGTACAAATACCTAGTTGTTAGCTTTTTCGTTTACTAGTTGTTAGCATGGAATACTTAGTTACGAGATGTGCGCATGCGCATTAAAAGCCATAACATATCGTAAGCGCAGGATCTTCTGCTTACGTTAACTGGGCTTATTTTGTTGCGGTAAGCAGTGTCATTACAGGGAAGATACAACATTTGCAAACATCAAAAAACAAATGATCAAATTATCACGAAATTCTTCACTGGACTGTTAGGGAACGACAACCTAAAGCATCCCGTACAATCATGGCTCCTGGTGTGCTGATATTTTTAAGTAAAGCAGTATTTTTGTATCAATTTCCAACGCTGGTCGGCCGACCAGCGTTGGAGAAAACTGGCTTTCTTCAAAAACTGCTCCTAATTTTTCATATTTAGTTTTTCCGCATTTTCTTTGTAATTGATTACACACCTGTGAAGGGGTACAAGCAAGCTAGACTGATTCTCTGACCTTATAATTCCCCCAACGTCTATAAATATTGCTTCGTTTCATCTTAAGTGGGGTCAGGGAGCCAGACTACAAGAACATGATTGGTTTTCTTGGTTTTTCCAGCATCTACGAACCCAAAACGTGAAACAAGTCAGTGTAACAATATTTGCTTTAACATACTATTCCGCCAAATCCATTTATTTCTGAAAATTACAGCAAAAGCAAATGTTGTACTTTCCCTTTAAATTTGGCCCAGTGCTTAAGGTACGCTTAGCTAGCTACGAGGGTTTTTGTGTTGAAAATTCTGTACATTATTATTAGTTTTTTGTGAGAAGGGGGTACACAACGCGTTATCTGTGGTTCATGCACGCATTCGATCTTGCAAGGGTGCAACCAAGTAAATAGGCCAAACATCCGTCCTCTGAGCTCATGATTAATTGTTACTCTATACATGTATTTAGAGAGTTCTGAGAGCCATGGAATTGGGGGATTGAAGACATAATGGCATCGCACCTCTGGCCTGGACTTGGGGCTTCTAATTCTAAGCATTTCTGGGTCTGAAAGTGGCGCTATTTAGCCATGTTGTGGAGGGATCCTTTTTCAAAATGGCTACTTTTCCAGTTTGGGAAATATCATTCGTTTTATGGGTGGTCTTCTTTGGGTGAGAATTTCTCCAAAAAGTCATTAGTCAACCCACCAAAAAAAGGAAAGGAAAATAAAAGACTACATGTTGATCATAATTTTTCTGTGCAGCCTGAACACCTCCGAGAGTTATTTTTAAAAGAATTTTATGAAAGTATGCATGGGGATTTATATCTGGTGTCTATGGGAATTTATTTACTTGGTTGCACCCCACAAGATATCGAGATCGAATGACAGAAATACTCACTTTCTCAGACGTCATGAACCATGTCTGTCAAGTGCTATAATGGTAGCTGAATATAATTACGAGCCAGGCTCGCATTCAGGATATCTGGTCATAGCTTTGTCTTTAACATTGGTTAAATAGGTTGTGGAATGTCCTTCCCGGACCGTTACAGGAAAACTATTTTTGGAGAGATTTCAGTGAATCGTTCCGTTGCTGTGTCCTGCTTGGCCCACAAACGGAAAGAGGAAATGTACATCATACAAAAGGAGTGTACATATAGTTTTGTTTCACTGTCGTATTGTATCATACTCAAGCACATACAAAGGTGTATTGCACTGCTGTATAATTAAGGAACTGAGTAAACAGTGGTGCCGGTTCTGCACGGCATATAGCCTACACAGTAGCCGGAAAGCTGGATCTGTGGACAGTGGCCATCGCACAGCGTGTTAAGAGCTGATCTGTTCGATGTTGTTGTATACCTTGCTGACAAAAATACTGGGACAAACTCTCAAGACAAAAACTGAAGAAACGGACAGTTTCTCTTACTCGTGATGAATGACATGAAGTCTACTGATCGTTTTTGCTTTTCACTTGGTCACCGTGGATTTTGCAGTGAATAATCCTGACTACAGAAAAGTAACTAGTGTGCGGACCAGTACATGTACATGCAGAGTCAAGTGTGAACGTTCTCAAGTCTAATCGGACACCGGTTTAGGAACAGTGCAGGAATACCCCCGCGACATTATGATCAGCAAAATTCTCCTTGTTCTGTTGATGGCCACGAGCTTCAACGTCACGATGCCTGCAAGTATCTTACCCGAGTCCTCTTCTGTCACCGTCCGTAGAGGTGACCGGTTGCAACTGTCGTGTAACATACGCATCTCGGCTTCGGAAACTATACTTGAGAGCTCATGGATTCGCGATGAGGATTCCCGGTTTCCATACGACACGGTAAATGTTTCCACCTGTCGGCCTGGAATCAAAAATGATGGCAGGGATGTCCCATGTGCTACAAGTAAGACATTGGACAATCGTGGAAGAGTGAAATACGTATATCAGACGAACGAAACAGCAACAACGACACTGATAATTGATGAAAGCACGTTAGAGGACAACACGACTTTTCGTTGTGTTGTTGACAGGCAACAAGGTGGCAAGCAGCAGTCCGAGCAGATATCTGTGACCGTTTACTACCTCCCCAACGCAACCACTCCCACCTGCACATCTTCTAACTTATCTGGCGTCTCGATAATACCGTCTAGTTTAACGTGTTCAGCTGGAGAATCTCAACCAAGTGTGTCTCTGGAGTGGACAGCTTTCAACGAAGACTCGAAGAGAGTTTCTTTGTCAAATTTCACAGAGATGATTCGGGATCGAGTGGAGAACACGTTGGATCTAACAATGCTTGAGATACCCTTTAACAAACTGGTATTTACCTGTTTTATGACGAGTCGGGCTTATCCTGAATTCATCAGTAATTGTTCCATTGGACCATTCTTCATTCCAACGACTGAAGCCACGACAGTATCTCGAACTCCCTCAACGGGGACAGATCACCCTGTCTCCCCGCTAAGCCCCATCACAGACATCACGTCAAGAGCATCCGGCACCCTTCCAACGGTTACAGATGAGCCCGTCTCCCGGCTAAGTCCAATCGCAGTCATCGCATCAACAGCAGGAGCTGGGGCCGCCTTATTCATCATCATCATCATCATTGTATGCGTGGTCTCATCAAGGAAAACCAAGAAACGGCGTGAAGTCGCCGTCAGGTTCCAAGCCTCCGCTTCAGGCCGGCAGCAAACTGATTTTGTCCGCCTAGCAACCACAACAGCCATCTACGAGAACCAAGGAAGTGTCTCTCTGCCCGTACACCAGAGAATGAATTACAACAGAGTACCACTAAAAGACGACACCCCAAGCGACCAGTCGGAATTACCAGCCGACGTGTATGCCTACGCGTCGGTGACAACGGCCCACCGACAGCCGACCTCACCGCCGCATTACTATGAGCTGGACCCGGACGCGCCAACAGAGAAGACAAGCGACGGCTACGCGTACGCCAGTGTCGAGAAGGTGGCAGGACAAGACGGACAGGACTGGACTGAGGACGCGGCATCGGACTCGAGTTGGGAAGACGATGATTCACATGGTGAGGACAAAATTAGTAGAAAGTTACCGGTGTTATTTAGACGATTGCTTTGTCCTTGTGCTTAAACATTTTCACATAATTGACCACATATGGATACGAATCGATCGCGTCAAATTTTGAGGGGAAGGATTTTTGTCCATCTTGTTCCTGCCAAAACAAAACAATTTCGATATAGAAAGCACCCGCTGATTGAATAAAATCTAGAGGTCAAGATGCGGTTGTCTTGCATTATTAATCAACGAATCTGCTCATGTTATAGAATAGACTAGACACCGAACAGACTTGGTGTCTCGGATGGTGTTCTAGTTTTATTTTAATTTTGTTTCAATTTGGCTGCCTTGTTTTTGTAATACAATACAGAAATTAGAAGGCGCCCGCTGAATGGTCAGAATCTAGAGGTCAAGAAGCAGTCTTGTTCTGCATAATAATCGCCGAATTTGTTCACATATCATAGACTGTTGCTGCGCAAATTCCAAAGACTAAAGCTCTATAATGCAGCTTCGAAAAGTATGATCTTAATTTGTTCCGACTTCATCATTTGCCAGATCAAGAACCGCGGAGACTCAAAGTCCACGACACCGGTGCTACTTACAGCGAAATAGAACAGACGAACGACGGAGGTGCGGGCGACAACGACAACAGTCACACAATATTCGTGGACAATATCTTATACGTCCCGTCTACCAATGACGTCATCCGTCAGTCAAAGTTCAAAGGGCAGCCGGTGGCTTGACCTATTTTTTAATGGTCATGTGGTACAGTTTTATTGCATCGGGAATGGACTTTTTTGTACGAGTATCGATGAAAACGGCTATGAATATTTCAATATCGCACCAAATGCCGGTGTCACGGTCTCACTTCTCCGGCGTGCTAGCTTCTCCAAAAGGGAAATTTCGCTTCAACACGCATGCACAAAATTGCGCAGTAATGTACATTTTCGTCAATGTATTAGTGTGCCGAGTTCTTCGAGGCTGTACTTGTGTATTTGTATGCATAGAATTTTCGTGGCGCGCACTATTAACTCCCAATATTAAAGACTTGAAATGCACATTTATTTTAAGCCGTGGTTGCAAAAATAAGGACAAAATGGACCACGAACGAGCAAGGAACACGGACCAAGGAGTTCGTTCTTAATTATTCCTCTATGAACACACACATGCATGACGCTGGGAACACAAATCAGAATGCTTGAAAGACCATGGAATGACTTGACCCACAGGAAGTGTTACATAACACATTCTTGGGTATCCCTCACTGTGTTATTAATGGACTTGGTAGACTTCAGAAAACAGCCCGAGGAAAAGTAAGCACAGCGGACACATGAGCATGAATCGTGCTCATGTAACGTGCAATCAACCCGGAGAAGCTAGCACGCCGGAGAAGTGAGACCGTGACACCGGTAACGTAGTCTACCTAACGTATAGTCTGCCGTGTTCAAAACGTTTCAGAGATACCAAAATGTAAAAGAGTTTCTCGTATGACTGCTGTTAAACAGCTATTTTACAAAGAAATTTGATACACTCTGTGAATTATTTTGTACATAGGCTTTAAATTATTGCTTATTTCTGATCGTATATTTTACGGATTTACATGATAGCATATACAAGTACACACAACCTGAAGCGTTTGTTTATGGTGTAATCGAGGACACACACGTGCAACATCATTGGTGAATCGAGGACAGGAACCAAATCGAGGACTACCTCAATTAGAAAACGTGTACAAAACCAATGAGAGCTGTTGCGAAAAAGTTACTGTACAAACAAAGGAAAAGGAAAGAGGAACAAGGGGAAATCCTCGATTTACACCATAAACAACGTGCATAGAAGGCCTACTTGCTGATAGTTAAGAAAATTATTGCGACCTTTTGTTTTCCTTTTTACCCTATGAGGTTAGAATGCTGCTGTGAATACAATGTATCTGTTTTATAGTGGCTTTTTTTTGTCATGCGCACTAAACCCAACAGGGTCTGAACCTCCACATTAAGGTGAATTCAATGCGCTATGCCAAATTGAGATCCGGATCAAAATAGGGCACACCAAATCCAATGAACACACATGTTGTCCAAATTGCCTCAAACGGTGAACATCATTTCAAATAATATGTAAATGTTGGAGATTGTTGAAACGTGAAATGTATAAATTATTTGTTTGTTTGGGTGGGATTAAGCATTAGACGTAACTGTTTCCAATGTGTGCAATGTTAAATACAGCCTCATTCTTCTGTCCATCTTTATCTTGCCGAGGCTTAATAATTACTCACATTCGACTTTCACTTTAATCGAATTTTTTTAGGAAATGTGCTATATTATGGAATTATAGAAAATGTAAGTGACTAGAAAATTTAGCGTGAACTGCACCATGTCCCGCCTTGAAAGAGTAGACAGACTGTTACAAAGTTTAAAAGAGCCGATATTTCCATACATTCCACACTGTTTCTGTTTCCCTTTCTTTTGCGTGTGTATCGTGATTCCTTTCAACCAAGCCTGTTGCCAAAAAAATATTGTATTCGTTTTTCGCTTTTCTCACCAAATTCAGTGTGTGTTCAGCACCGAATTGTACTAACCGGTTCAATACACACGATGAAAGCTCGTGTCAAAATCGGAGCGAGGGACACCCTATGTAGGGAATATTATTTTACACAATCACACGTTGACAATTTGTAAATACCACTACTGCATGATCGTGCTTCTTTACGCCAATTTGAGTAGCATGCCCGAGTATTAAGTTACTCTCGGTGATACTCAAAGTGTACAGTAATATTTTGGAATTTCGACTGAGTGAGAGTTCCAGTTGAAAATGAACCAGTTGGTGAGTGACATAAAAGAACGTGTAATGCTTTTCAATCACGCAAGAGTCTGCGTATGCCTCCATTACATCCGTCACCGACATTTTGTGATAAGTTGAACAAAGATGGCGATCGTCGCATTTCTATCTGCAGCACTGCTGGCCTCAACTGTTACCATGACTAAATCGTTAACGATCACACCTACAGCTAACACACTGACTGTCCGGAGAGGTGAACAGTTGCAGATGTCATGTGACATAGGCCTTCAATCTGGTGACAATTTACTTGATCCAGATGAGGTTCGATGGTACCGTGGGTCGGACACATCTCCCTATGGATTCCTTAACGTGCGATCTTGTGGCTTCGTCGGCCTTCCATGTAGGAACGTAAGCACAACGGATAACCGCGGAATTGTACATTATGCACACACTGGGAATAATATTGGAACGATGACTCTAACCATTGCTAGTAGTATGTTGGAAGACAACAGTGCATTTCGTTGTGCTTTTTTGAAGGGAGGCACTCAAAGGTCGGCATCGATGTCTGTGACTGTATATTACCTGCCGAACACAACTTACCCAACATGCCGGTTAACTGAGACCATACCATCTGCTTTACTTTGCTCATCTGCGAAAACCCAACCATTAGTTTGTCTGGAGTGGACAACCTCCATCAAGTCATCAAGGATATCACTCTCAAATGATACACACATCGTCGGGGATCAAGTTGAAAACACTCTGCCTCTTCATGCTCTGGATGATTATTACAGTAACTCAATATTCACTTGTTTTATGACCAGTGAAGCATATCCCGGCTTGAACAGAAGCTGCTCCATCGGACCTGTCACCATCTACACCACTCCAACACCCGAGGTCACGGTTCGGCCAACATCCCAAGCTGCCACAACAAGCACATCAACTACTGAAAACCAGGAGACGTCCGAACGCTCTTTCACAACACCCAAGGTCACAGTTATTCCAACATCCCAAACTGCCACAACAAGCACAACGACTACTGAAAGTCAGGAGACATCCGAACGCTCTCTCACAACACCCGAGGTCACGGTTACGCCAACATCCCAAACTGCCACAACAATCACAACAACTACTGAAAGCCAGGAGACGTCCGAACGCTCTCTCACAACACCCGAGGTCACGATTAGGCCAACATCCCAAACTGCCACAACAAGCACAACAACTACTGAAAGCCAGCAGACATCCGAACGCTCTCTCACAACACCCGAAGTCACGGTTACGCCAACATCCCAAACTGCCACAACAATCACAACAACTACTGAAAGCCATGAGACGTCCGAACGCACTCTCACAACACCTGAGCTCACATCCCAAGCTACAGCTGCAGGCACAACAACCATTACGTCTACCACCGCCGAATCGAGCACACAAGAGCAGGGTCAAACTGAAAACACAGCCTCTACAGGCCGTACCACTAACAACATCGACCCATTAGATCAAGATACGGCCTCTGCAGACCCGGTGGATGCTTCCACTCCCTTCACCGCATATGACACCACCTCTCAACCTCTCACTTCACCGTCTCAAGCACCTGTGAGCATGGCCACGTCGCTTACAATCACACCCAAAGCCACTCTCACAAGCAGTCCAACATCTCACGGTAGAGAAACTCCCATGCCCACTAGTTATACCACATCTCAACAGCGCTCATTTCAAAGTCGTGCCTCGGCCCCTTCAACTGACATACCAGCAACTAGTGAGCAAGGACAAAGCAGTCCAATCGATCAAACTACAACTCCCGGGATAACTCTTTTCAACTATATAATTATTATTACAATATCAGCGACTGGTTTCGTACTTATCATATTTCTGCTGATCATCATAGCTTACAAAAGTCAATCGCAGAGAAAGGTACAAATGAATTTTAACCGGATGCAGGCGCTTTTGAGAGACAGTGGTAGCCAGTCGAGAGTCATACATACCAGAACTGAGAGGTCTGACGCCAATGAGGACACCCAGCAGCAACCTGGTGGAATCCCATTACAAACTTTCGCTCACGATGGGCCTGGTGCCAGCACTTCCAACTCGTCCCTCAACTCAAGTCACATATATGAGACCTGCAACGTGGGAAACAACAGAGCCGTACCAACTCCTGTCCTGGACCAACGCACCGTGAGACCCCAACAACCTGTCACCAACGATGGCTTTAATCCGTACCTTGTGCCAGATCAGGAGAAGAACAGTGCTGACGATTGGCCTAGTTCCAGCGATAGCAACTCGTCCCTCAACTCAATCCACATATATGAGACCTCCATCTCGGGAAACAGCAGAGCCGTGCCCGCTCCCGATCCCCTCCTGGACCAACAAACCGTGAGACCCCAACAACCCGTCACTGACGATGGCTTTAATCTGTACTTCGTGCTAGAACAGGGGGAGAACAGTGCTGACGATTGGCCCAGCGCAAGCGATACCAACTCGACCCTCAACTCAACTTGCCACGAACATGATGAGACCTCCATCGTGGGAAACAGCAGAGCCGTGCCCGCTCCCCTCCTGGACCAACCCACCGTGGGACCCCAACAACCCGTCACCAACGATGGCTTTAATCCGTATTTCGTGCTAGATCAGGGGGAGAGCAGTGCTTACTATTGGCCCAGTGCCAGCGATACCGACTCGTCCTTCGATTCAAGCCGCGAATATGATGAGACCGCCATCGTGGGAAACAACAGAGCCGTGCCCGCTTCCCTCCTGGACCAACGTACCGTGAGACCCAGACAACCCGTCACTAACGATGGCTTTAATCCTAGTCCGTGGGACGAGAGGCCGAAAACACTTTAGATTTCGAGATACGCGATCCGGTTCGCCGAATTTTATAAAACTTTCCAGACATGTAGGTTGTGATGTACCATATCGAAAAAAACATTGTTCAAGAAACGCGATTGGTTATACAGAATGTGACAATCTATGAGCCATGTAACATAGGCGCAGCCAGCGGGGGTGGGGGGGGGGGGGGGTGGGGGGGTGGGGGTGGGGGGGGGTGTAAGGGGATATTTACCCCCCCCCCAATATTTTGTAA